TCATCCACTTTCCATTTCCTGCTGCCGTGAAGCCTCTTCTTAATCTCATGCCAAGACCCCATAATATTACATTATAATATTAATTATTAAAATTATAAAATGTTATTCTATTTTTTATATGAATTTCAAATATAATTTTCATAATCATATGTATGTTAAATATTAACTGGATCATTACTATGCATATGTTATTTATTAAATAGAATTTAACAATTTAATAATATTATATACAACTATATTAATATTTATATTTTAAGAGGCAATGTTTTTTTATCATAATTTGCACATTTAAAATTAACTCTGACTAAATTATCTAAACACATTTAATTATGTCAAAATTAATTTTAAAAAAACAACATTCAAATATGATCACATTATGACACAATCAATTATAATTAAAATTAATCATATTAATTAATTTTTTATAATGAATTATATTTAACTAAAATTCAAATGGGCCCATCAATTGCACATATACATTTCCCACCTAATTTTAATTTTCTCATGTACGTAAGGTGAAGAGTTTTTTCTTTTGGGTGCAATTCACAAACGAGTGCTTATATTTGCCTTATTGAAATTAGATATTGGATCACACGTGTTACCTGTTAAGTGAGGTTTGAAAGAACCAATCGTAGTAATTAGATTGTATCCATTGGAGGAGAAGATCCACGCATTCATGTAACATGTTTTTTTCCCCAAATCAAAGGAGGCATTATTAACTAAAGAAAATTCAGCGTTCATGTCACTTGTTAAAAACATGTATTTTCAAGAAGTACTCATTAATTTACTCCTAACCAGATAAATTTTAAGCAGAACAAACGCATATAGAATAATGTCGAAATTATTCTTGCCGATCGAAAGAGGCACCAGCGTAACAGTATCACTCTTGGCAGTTTTATAATGTTCAATTATATTTTTTATTGGAAAAAAACAATCATTTATTCGTATGGTTTTATTGAATCTTGCTTTCATTTTTTGTACTTATTTTAGTATTTTAAGTTTTTATGGGAATTAAAAACATTAAAATTATATAAACTTGAGTAATAAATATCATCTAAACTTATTGAAATTAAAGAGACTGAAAATATTGATAAAAACTGCAGTAACTAAATAACTAAAAGCAAAACTCATTAAATTTATATGGACTGATGATTGCATCTTCCCTCATTTATTTGATGACATACTTGATCTTGAGTCTCAACTAGATGCAGTGATATATTGAATAGAGTTTGATTTGAGTTTAACTTTTATTCACACACACACAAATTATATGGACAATGAAATTTTTAGTCGTCTAAGTTTGTTTTGATTATCAATCTAAATCCTTAACTTTAATTTTTTCCATCAAGCCCCTTAGGTCTTTCTAAATTATTATGATAATTCTAATTTTTAAAACACAAAATAACTTTTGAATCAATTTAATTTGTAAAGTATGTTGATGACTTGACACACACATGTAGATAAGTGAGAACAAAATAGTCATTAAATTAGTTTAATTTTTAACAATCTAAACCCTAATGCTGTGCTCTCTGTTTTTTTTTTAAAATTGATTTCTTTTTTCTTATTTAAATAATTACAAATCTTTTTTATTAATCTACATAGCTTGCATCAATATTCCTTTACCTATGTTAGTAAATTTCAATAGTATTTTCCTATTTAAATAATAAGGACCAAATAAAAAAAATGGGGCAAACTCATTGGCCCAAATCAATAGAAAATAAATTCAAAAAATTAAATCAACAACTGAAATAAATTTGATTGATAAAAAGTTTTTTTATCTCTGTCAAACATGTCCACTCAATAAATTATAATGAGAGAATGACAGAGAGATCCTAAAATAATTAATTAATTCAAGTCAAATTTTAAGTGTTAAAATTCAGAAATTTGTAACTCAATTTTGTAAATTTATTATGATGAATTTGTAGTTTATATTTTAAAATTTAATAAGAAAAATTTTTTATTCTTCAACCATATTACAATTTAAAAAATAAGTTACAAATTCATTATAATGCTGTTGCAAAATTAAGAGGTTAAATTGTAAATTTATGAAGTTTGATATTTGAGACTTAACTTAAATTAATTAATTTTTTAAAACCTCTTTATCATTCTTCCAATTATAATTTGTGCCTCTCGGATGATAATTGGACAAGAGAAGCAAGATTGCGTCCTTGTGTTCAGAGTTGAATTCATGTCTTAATTATCTTTGGAATTTATACCAATGTATTCACCCCCCAAAAAAAAAAACTTCTGTTTAGTTTCATTTTAAATAACAATTTATACACATCAATCTCTCCTCAAACTCTAATTAAATATTACTCCTTTTCAAGTTATAGAATATTTTAAGACAGAATTACATGTATAAAAAAATACCATTAAATATATTCTACAAATTTTTTTCTTCCAAACAAAAATACAAACACTTAAAAATACCTTTCATTTGGTATTTTGGTATTTATAAAAGAATATTAGAGAGTGACAACACAATGAACATGGCAACATTTAAAAATATTATTAATACAATTTTATTTTTATTAAAATGTATTATATTTTGGGGATTTCAAATTTCTCACAAGAGTATCTTGAGAATTGAGACTGAGTGACCAATTATTAACACGATCCAACAAACAATTTTGAAAATCAAATTACACCTGAATACGTGGGACTGTTATGAATTTTTACAACTTCAGATGACTCGTTGTAACAGTCAATCAAGTCGCTAATAACTAGACACATTTCTTTGTGTGTTATGCATAGTCTAAAAAATAAACTATATCTATAAGTTAGTAATTATTACACTCTTTAGTTCCTATTATAGCACGGTTTCTAAAATAATTTTGTTCCATTACAAGGCACTTATAAAGTATTAGTTACATCTTTTTAATATTGTTTTTATTTAAAATTATTAATTATGAGAAAGAGTATAATGTAAATTTAATTTTTTTAAATAGGATAAAATTAAAAGTTTATTTTATTTTAAGATAATATTAATAACTTAACCACTTCTTATTAATTATGATCAGATAATTATATGTGTTCTATAATAGAGACTTTAAGGAATATAAAATTTCGTGGGCAATAATATTGCTAATGACGTTGATAGAACAATAGTCATGGTCAATTTCCCTCACCACACACTTATCGTTTGGGTTTTTCGTACATGCACATATTATGAGCAGTTGCGTAAAACACAAATAAAATATGCCACATCGGCTTCAGGCCTAATACCAGTCAACTGCTTAGTCCATACGCATTACTTTTGCCTTTTTTAAAAATTATACTTTTTTATTTAAAAATATAAAATATTTTTAATTAAATCTTACTTTTTAATAAAATAATTATTTATTTTTAAATTAACTTTATCTTTTTATATTTATCTTTATTAAATATTTTATAATAAATATAAAGTCAACATGGGTATTTAAAAAAAAAGACAATGATTATACATTAAAAAATAAAAAATATTTTATATTTTTAAATATATAAATTTTTTTAAAATATTTTATATTTTTGAATGGAAGGAGTAGTTGATTAATTACCTATCTCACTTTAAATATAGTTGATTAGTTACTTGACTGACTTTTTAATTGTGTGCATGTGTCAATTTATCAAAAACAATTTTATTTGAGACATAGTTAAATATGAACATATTTTTTAATATGAATTCAAAGATTAATTTATTAAATTGTGAGAGATTAACTCATTTTAGTAGACCTAATTTAAAATATTTCTACTATATCTTATATGAAATTTATAAAATATCGCTGGTTATAATTTATGAATAATAAGATTGTGTTTTATATAGATGTGGTATTTTATATGGAAAAAGGGGGGGGGGTTTGTAGTTGCATTATTGGCTTGCCCAACCACCAAATTAGGCGTACGATTGTCTAACTGGGTTTGCAGAAAATAGATGAAGGTATAATCAACATCACGAGGTGAAGTGGCGTCATATATAAATTGATGCCAACAATTGCTTTGAAGGGAAATGAAGAAAGAGAGCCTCATCCTGCATATTAATAGGACGGGATCACATTATGCATCACTCATCCTTTCTAATCATTTACAAGCCCTCATTCTTCTCATCATAATCCACACACAGACACACACTTTCACAATATCAATTTGCCACTTTTACAAGAAAATCAAAGCACAAAAGCTGAGAGACCCATCTGTCCCTCTAATTCTCGCCACGAGCAAATGTTGCCATGGATCATTATATATAAGTGTCCACAGTCAAGGACAAAGCTGCAGTTTTCAAAGCCAATAGTGAGATACACTACTAACTGAACCGAACAGCACAGTGGTCATCCACCCTTTTACCTGATTAATTAATAATTAGTTTGATCGCTTGCGAAACAATTTGCTGGAATCATCAAATGTGGATTAAATATAATAAATAACAGTGACTGTTATAGCGGCAGCGACCTGTTTTTTTTTTTTTTTTTTAATTTTCGGTGGTGCATGTAAGGGTCGGGAAATATCAGCGTGAAGATAACTAGAAGCGGCAGAGGTAATCACTAATCAGGTTTAAAAAATAGTGGGGAGAGGGAATAGTTCAAAGCAAGAGTCAGAAGAAGCTTCAAAAATTTTAAACTTGAAAAGTGGATGTGGCCAAACTGGGGGGGGGGGAATTACTGGAAGAGACAAAAGATGGGAATAAGGTTGGAAAGGAGGTAAGTGAGCAGTGGATGCTACTAATTCCGCCATTATCAGCACCTAAAACTGTTTCAAAATTCAAAAATGTGAGGGAGCAAGTAGGGCGTAGAAGCTGTGAATTACGCATCCCCATGTATGCCAATTATAATCATAATTTAATGGTTGAGCCTAATTAATTACAATTAATCAGGGGTACACTGGACAAATGGCAGGTGAGTTGCATACAATTCCAAGGACAAGTGTCTCCAACCACTGGGCCCCATCCCCCCCCCCTTCTTCTCTCTCGTATTTTGAACTGTCCAAGAGGGACCCTTAAACCTTAATAAAGGCAGCCTGTCTTCAACATTCTATACCCCAACTCTTCTCCTCATCCCATCTCTCCCTCTCCCTCTCCGCCTCGTCTTCTTTTTCTCCCTTTTCTTTAGTCGATTTTTCTGATCTTGGTCTGCGAAACCCGGCAAAACTCAGCTCGGTCCCCATTAAATCTGCAACTTCTTCATCGTCCCTTTAACCAAGCATGGCTAAAGCTGTGAACGATGCTGAGTTATGGCTTCCCTCGCAGTTCCTCGTCGGCAAGGAGAACGATAAGAATGGCGTCAACGCTGACTTGGATGCTTCCTTCGGCTTCCCTTCCGAGTTCCCCTATGAGTTTGACTCGTTCGGGATCTCTGCCTCGGCCATGAGCTCGCCGGTGGAGTCGGTGGCTGGTTCGACGGAGACTGACAGCAGTGGTAGCGACGTCGACGAGGACTTCTTTGCCGCCTTGACTCGCCGGCTGAGTCAATCGTCGCTCTACGACACTCCAAAGCTCACTGTCCCCACTTTCTGCGATAGGGACAAAACTGAGGTAAGAGTTGGGGGATTTCTCCGAAATTTCAAATTTCACCTCGAGCCACCCCTTTTAGAAACTTATTCGGGTCGGGTTGCTTGGCTAGGTTCAGAAGGCTCATGGTTTAGCCCGGTCGCCCCAGTCGACGTTAAGCGGAATCGGAAGCTGGTCCGGTAGCAGTGCCGTCTCCGGCGACAGAAGCCCGACCATAGGTTTTCCATCCCCTCCAACGACGCCGTTTCCTGCCAAGAACGACCTCGCTTGGGACGTCATCTATGCCGCCGCGGGACAAGTCGCGAGGCTGAAGATGAACAGCGAAATGTCCAAGTACGATTTCCAGAACAGCGCGTTTCTCGGCGCCCCTCGAGCTACAATTTCAAAGAATCACGCCTCATCGCTGTACTCAAACCAGAACTTCATTCAGGTGAGTTCATGAGCTAACACGGACGCTTCAAAGTAAGGGGTAATTTCAATTTCCACTTGCTCTGACTTAGCCGGTTATGGTTTTAAGGATCTGTGTTCTTTCTCTGAAGGTTCAGTCTCAACAGGCGAGGCAGCAACACTGCGCTTCCGTGTGGGGAAGGCAAGCTAAAGCGGACTGGCTTGCTCAGCAGCAGCAGAAAATTCAAAACAGAGCTGGGCGCAATGTTGGGTATGAGAGTGTGAAATGTGGGCGTCCATCGTTGTCTGTGTCCCAGTCTGCTTGGCCTCCTGTTCAAGTTCAAGCCCATAACCATCAACAGCTGCAGCTCAGTGGATCTGGATCGAGAGCCGCCGTGCACGGCGGATCTGCTGGCAGAAGGGGATGTGGTGGAACAGGGGTTTTCCTCCCTCGTCAGTATGGGAATCCCCCAGAGTCACGCAAGAAAACAAGTAACCACTTCCTCTGAACTCGTTTATTCTATTCATTGTTTATATAATTTGGCCTGTTTGCATCTAACGTGCAATGAGTTTTTTTCCCTGGCAGGTTATACACCTGTTCTGCTTCCGTCGAAGGCTGTTAATGCTCGGAACTTGAAGATCGATGACCTGAATGCCGCTAATCAAACGGGCTTCTCCGGTGCATTTGCCACCGAGTATGGTGAGTTCGGTTTTTCCCCGAAGAAAGCCATCTACAATTAAGTTGATTCATAGTTGAAAATTGTTTTCCTTATGGATTGTGCTGTGGTTTTTGACGTTGCAGATGCATTAATGGCTCGAAGAAATGCTTTACTGATGCAACAACAGAGATTAAGTGGTCGGCCTGAGGAGGCAGTAAACCACGACCTACGCTTGCCACAGGACTGGATGTACTGACGGAAGCAAGAAGATTCAATTTTCTCCAAGCTAGTTGAGGAGACAAGGGCAATAGGGGGTATTGCGTAGGGAATATGGTATTTTGGTTTTTAATTTTTTGGATAGGGATTTAAGAAGATATTCAAGAATGTCGTGGTAGCTTTAGGTGCAATAAAGCAATATCTATTTTTTTGGGATAAGATTGCAGGTTGTAGGATGTGGCTTTTGGTTGCTTAAACAGTGAAGAAGAAATAGGAGTTTTAGGTTTTTATTTTGGTTGTAATAAGCTAAAGCATGTGCCGTCTTCTTGTTCCCTGCACTTGAGGGGGTGATGGGTGGGAAGGAAGAAGAAAGGCGAGAGGGAAGAAGTGTGAAGCAGTTAGTAGTGTCAGGGATTGAGAGTTTTTACTCAGAAACTTGTAAAATCCCTGGCTGGTAAAAGTATGTAATAACTTATACTAAGTAATAATATTAAATATTAATTATTATTTCCTCATTTTGCTTTTGTTGCTTTAGAAGGGTCGCTGTTGATGATAAAGATTTTGAAATGAAAAAAGAGGGAGATTCAATTTAGAGGGAGAATCGGAGGAAAGAGACTATGTTTGGAATTGAAGGAAACTGAGTGGGGTATTATGGTCCACCCAGGGGAGCTTTGGGCCCATTCTTCCTTAAAAGAGGCAAATTTCTGAGTCTAGAATACTTTATATTCATCTATGTTCGTATCCTCACATAGAAGTGGGAAGCCTCTAGCGAAACGGAGACATCTTTGAATGTTGTAATTTTTACTTTTACGAGAGTGATGGACATGCACTTCAATATTGACTCCCCCAAGTCCCTAGGTTTTGGGTTGAGTTGAGGAGCCTGGGTGAGGAAGACTAACATATTTTAATTTACATTCTCAAGGTAAAACTATTTTGAAAGTAAAAAGGAATAAAAAAAAGTCGGAATCATATGTACTGATTAAATTACAAACGAAGTAATTTGATTTATTTTGTTGACCATTGCATTTACGTAATGAAAAAAACAATTGGCATGTAAACGAGAGAGATTGAAATCTCAATGAAGAATTTGAAATTTTTGTTCACTGCACGAGTTTGATTTGAATCATGAAAATAATTAATTTAGTGTTTAAGTTTAAATTTAATCTTGAGGCAAGTCGTTCATTTTTTTAAAATACTAATTGTGAATGTTACTCCAAAAAAAAAAAAAAACTCGAAGGGTGGTTAGTACTTTTTGAAATTATTTTTTTAAAAATTTACCCTTATATTAAATAATATAGGCACGAGAAATTTAATCTAACTAAAAATAAAAAAAAGGAAAAATGTGCCATTTCTTCATGAAGGTAAAGAGATAATTACTTTTATTAATATTACAATTTAGAAGTGAGGGAGTATTTTACGATATTACTTTGATTTCCTTAGATATGTTGGAAGAGCAATCTATTAACTCCATGAATGGAGTGGATGATACTATTTTTATTGAAATGGGTGAATAATGAATGGAGTCTACTTGTTCAACCCATTAGGCCATAACTTATATAGTAAAATTGATAGCAATGAAGAGTTAGGTCTATACCAACTCTATTTTAAATTCCTGAATCACAAGATGATGCGAACCTCGCTCGAAAGTTTAAAGCATAAAAAACATGGATACAGCAATGTTTGGTACCTTACATATAAAATATCGTGAAGGAAGTTATATAAATTGGATGTGAAATCGGGGTTGCATCATTGCATGTGTGATGTTGACCGAGTCAAATGTGAAGATGTGTTTTTTCTGTTTCTTCCTATCGTTCTCCAACTAAATTTTCAATGATTTTGATCATGTGATATGTCGCTGCCTCTTCACGTATCCACATGTTATACTCCTTCCTACTCCCCACGGTCTTGTCATTTATTTTTTGTTTTAATCAATGACAATTTGACCCTCGATTTCCCTATGAGCCTTGTCAGTTGTCATTCATCAAAATAGCTCACCGTATTGCTCTTGTTCTATTGTTTTTTTACATGTATCTTTTTATTTTTTTATTAAAAGTAATTTTATTCAAAATAAAATTAAACAAAAAAGTGAGCATATTTTTTAATGAATATTTAAATATTAAATCGTCATAGATTAATTCTTCTCACAAGATCTAACACCTATTCATTGTTTTTGTTCTATTATGCAATTATGCCAAGGAAAAAGTCAGGACAAGTTGGTACAAATAGTAAAAATTTTAGAGAATAATATTCACGTTCCAATCCTTTTGAACCCATCCAAGATTTTTATTTAGGGGGCATTTTTCTCTTACAAATTGTTTGGTAAAAATAGGCTACAGCCTGCAAGCTAAATAAAGTTATTTGTATAATTTAAACATATGCGATAATTTCTTACTTTTTTTTGTCAGAGATATAATAAATTTTTGATTTTATTTATGAGGTATTTTATCGACTTATTGTTACAAGCTTTCAAGAGAGAAAATGATGTTATTGAAATATATATATTTAATGGGTATAAAAATGGAAACATATTAAATTTTTAGATATAATTAATAATTTTAAAGTTTTCTTGGATTTTTTAAAACATGTTTTTTTAGATTTTTTTAAAAGATGTTAAAAGTGATATAAATAAAATCGAAGAAAGTATTAATCCATCTCAATTTATAAGATACTTTTTAATAAAATTAATTATATCAATAACATTCATTAAATATATTTTACAATTTTATTTTTAGAAAAAAATATAATTTTTTTAAAAATACCCTTCATTTAAAATAAATTTATTTTTCAAACATTAAATAAAAAGATAAAAATTATAATAAAGTGAAAAGAGTAAGAACAAGTATAATTAATGAAACTTATATTTTCAAAAATATTTTATAAACTGAGACAAAGTGTTTTGACTGCATGATACATTATTATGTTGATGAAGCCATTTATATATGTAAGTGTTGGGCAAATTAATTTGAATAGTTTGTACGATATCTGATTAAAAGAGGAAGGAAATGAATTTATGGAGGAGTGAATGTGGAAAATAGGAAATTAATGAAGTGTGAAGATAGAAAGGGAAGCAGTGGAGTCCAGCTATAAAGTGGCGAGGTAGAGAAGACAATTGGGAGCAGATGGGGCATGCATGTGGGGGTGTTGTACGGTCACACACACACAGACACGCATTACTCACACAACACAACACACAAACTTTAAATTTACCTCTTTCGTCTCTTTTTTTGACTCTCAATATTCTCTCATGCTTTCGTTAATCACTTGGGCGCTTCATTAGGGCACATGATTTGAACCATTCCCTATTCCAAAAGGGAGAAAATAAAACACACACACACACACACACACACACAGAATAATTGAACAAGCACAGGTGGCTTTTCAGCATCCTAAGAACATTCTCATTGGCTAACAGTTGTGGAACTGTCTTGTTACTGTCTCATTTTTACCTTATTTGTTGCTTTTCTTGTTTTGCCTTGTTCATTCATTTCTTTTGTTTGGTTAAAATCAAGACATTCGTTCTTGTTTCTCACCTTTGAATCTAAACAATCCCATGAAACTAGGATTTACTTATGAAAAGGTTGAGATTCAAAAACTATTATTCAGGGACCAAAATACATCATGCTTTTATAATATTTAGAAAAAAAATAAAGTAGTAAAATGCCAATGTTATGAAAACAGTACATGTTTGTGGGGGTCATCATTTTGAAGCAATTTTAATAATTGGGCCTTGGCATGCATGGGAATGGCCATATGTAATGGTTGAAGAGCCTCTTTTACGAAATTAACAATTATTTTTATTTTTATTAAAGAAAAAAAAAACTAGGTGTGGATGTGCCTTTGCTGGCAAGGTAACCAACGTAGGAACCAAAAATAATTGAAAGTAACGTTTAAGTAATATGGAAGGATCACGCATGGTGTTGTGATCATGTTGTGTGCATCGTGGGATTATCCATTCGTTTTTTTATTTGATTACACTCCACCATAATATTTCTCTCCATATTTTAATCTGATATAATTTTTTTTATAATTAAGAATACGATGTTACGTGACATAATCGCCCTCAATTTTCCGTTACGTGCCACTAATTTTTTTGCTCATTCAAAATCTTACATAAACTTCACAATAAAAAAAAAAATTAGAGCACCGAAACAGCACGAACAATTAAATTCGTGCAAGTAACGCCTTTCCTCCAGCAAATAACAGAATCAGTGTTACAGTGAATATATTATTATTAAAGAAGATTATACTAAAATTATAAAAAAATGATCAAACTCAATAAATGATCAAACTCAAAATTAAAAATAAAAAGGTTTTGATGTATTGAATTTGGAGGGTGATGTGAAGGTTAGGAACGCTGGTGGGTCTCAAACCTACTTTATTATTGTTACTGTGGCCCATATCTGCAGCCGTCAATCACGTTTCTTCTAGGTCCATCCGGATCCACGACCCGGTCCGTTCACTATGCCACGTTGCTTAAAATTTACAATAATTGTCGCAAGCGTAGAAAATACAACATATATAATCATTTTTGTCTTTTAAACAACTACTAGTAATCTAGTATAGTGCGTTGCATGCAACTGGCAAATATCAAATCAAGAACTTGTGTTTGGTTGGGCCGTTCGCGTGTGAATAATACACTCTCCATTTTAAATTATAAAATATTTTTAAATTAAACGAGTGTTTACGAAACGGGACGGGATCGGGACACTCCCGTCCTGAAAAAAAAAATCGGGACTGAATTTTGATCCCGTATCCCGTCCCGTTAAGAGTCGGGACGGGACCGAGACAAGATCGGGACGTCCCGTCGTCCCGATAAATGAAATAATGTTAAAAAAATCTAGATAATAACGTTTATTAAAATTTTAAATCATATAATTTATTAAGTTTAAAATTAAAACAACACAAACACATAAATAACAATAATTTAAAATCAATTATTGAATTATATTAATCACAACTACATATTATAATAACAAATTCAAGTGATCTTTATGTTATAAGATTAGCAACAACAGACAAGTCAAACACAACATCAAATCATTGTTCTTCTACTTTAGTGAAGATGTACTAAGCTAATTACTCTTCTAAAAATAAGCAAGAAATATGTTATAAATAAAAGTTATTAAAAGATAGATATAAGAATAAATTATATTAATACAATTAATATATTATAAAGAAAGATATCGCCATGTTTACTTCATGCCATTAAAATTATCAATATAAAAAAATTTAGTTTTAAATAAGAATTACAAGTATTAAAAGTATAATTGATATACTTAATATAAATATAAATTATATTAATATAATTAATATATTTAAAATAAAAAATAATATATATAATATTCGGGACAGGACTGGACGTCCCGATGGTAATCCCGTGTCCCGTCCCATCCCGAACCCCTTTCCTATCCCGTCCCGTAAAATCCCGTCCCGATTACTTTCGGGCCAGGACAAGACTTGTCCCGATATGATCGGGACGATACCGAGCCAATCGGTACGGGTCCAGACTGAACACCCCTACCTCATATATTATTAAATTTTATTAAATGCAATTAACAATATTATTTTTTAAAAAAATAAATTTTCAAAAATAAAGTTCATTTAATAGCATTAAATTTACATTTAATTATTAAATAGAGAGATGATAATATTAAAATAAATTTATTTAATGAAACCTTAATATTCTTAAAATATCTAATATTTTGAAACGTTATATTTTCTTTAAAAGTATTTTATAATTTGAGATCGAAGATGAAATAATATAAGACATTAATAATTAATCATAGTTCTCAAAAAAGTTTGGTGAAATCTTTATCTCTTAATTCTTTTTTTATTTTTTAATTATATCTTCATTAAATATCATATATGTGAGTATTTTATAATAATGCCAGTTGAAATTTTGATGTACTCCCTCCGTTAAAAAATGTAAGGTATTTTTAGTTTTTTTAAATGTAATTGTTGCCCTTTTTTTAAAAGTATCTCTATTAATGAATGACTTTATATTTATTGTAAGGTGTTTTATAGTGATAAATATAAAAAAGTAGGGTTAGTTAGAAAGTAAGTAACTACTTTATTAAATGGCGAGATTCTGTTAAAAATATTTTATATTTTTTAACAAAGGGAGTATCATTTTTGTAAAAAAAGAGTGACAAACAATGTAAGAATATAGTTGAAAAAAATTATAAATACAGTTTAACACCTTATGTTTTGAAACAAGTAAGGCTTTTAAATGATGTTCTATATTATGGTGTAGAAAAATTAGTTTTTTAGATTATTTAGAGGGTTATGATTGCATTTGAAAATGAAGCTTAACTGGAATGAGTAGTATATTGGAGGATTAAAGTGTAAACTTAAAGTGAATGAAAGTTAGTCTAATTAGTAATGGTACGAATACCATTCACACTCATAAAAGTAGTGATTTAAATTTTATATTGTCAATATGAAGATTATGCTAATCAGTTAGTGGTTAATTTGTAAATAATGTTTTAAATGCACTTAAAATATTGAGGTTTACCCTGATAGTATTGATAAGCTTTTGTGATTAAACTTTTATAAATTTGTCATTATAGTAACAAAAAATGCAAATTGCAGGAATTAAGGCGTTCATTTGGGCTTGAATTAGTTTTCCAATCTGTTATGATGTGAATCTGATCCATCAAATCCAATTCTACACCTTCCAGCCACCATTTCCCTCGCGCAATGAGTTGTCATTAAAGCCATGCCAACGAGCATGTTGTTGTCACGCACCATTCATGATTTTTATTATTGATCCAATAAAATAAATTCCCTTTTTCATGTTTTTTGTCAAACAATTTCCTATCTTTCTTGATTCCTTCTCTTTTTCTTCAGTTTTATTTGGTAATGATGTGGTTTTAAATGTTTTCATGCGTTTTTGTCCCCCCACCCCCCAAAAAAAAAAATGTTTTCATGCGTCTAAGTCTAAAAGTTGTTTTTTATTTTCCAAATTCGTCATGAACTTGTACGAATCTACGTCCCATTCCATTGCAAGGAAGTCCACAATTCCTGAGCGAGGAAAAGGATCCGGATTGAAATTTTAACAAAAGAATGACGAGAGAATTAGGCCAAAAAAAGATTCCAAATGCCACAGTGAATTATTAAGAGGAATTTTTCGGTTCGAAAAAATAAACCAATAGTTATCTCACGAGGTCCATTGATTCAATGGCTTGGTTGGTTTCCTGTGTGTACGTTGTAATCCCCTTGTACATATTTTCTGATGAATGAATTTCCTTTTTCAAAAGAAGAAGAAGAAACCAAACCTTTTGATATGACAAAAGCAATAATAAAAAAATAGAAATAAATCTATTTTTATCATTGCATCGGAACCTAAACATGATTTTTGCACAGTGGAAATTCAAAATGGCAGCACAAGTTTTAAAACTGTTTATTAGTATTATTTCAGTGGACTGGGCTTATAAATTAGTGTTGATTTTCGTTTGTTGGGCGTTTAGAAAAGAAAAATGTTGCAGAGTGAGGAATGATGGAGAGAGGCCCACCCAGAAGGCATGGTTTCTTTTGGTGAATCCAATGATTGTGTCACTATTTTCATGGCATGCCTCCGCTTTAGTGGGGTGGAATCCACTCTCATTCAATCATTTGCATGCTTTACACTCTTATTATCATTTTTTTTTTCTAGTTTTTTACACCCTAAGTCACCCCAGCCAAAAAATCCTACAAGTTTCTTTGTTTGGTTAAGATTCATTTTTGTCTGAACTATTTTTATAAGACCACCTAATATTTTAAAATTTTTTTGTTATAGCAATATCATCTTGAAAATAATTAAATCGTATTAATATTGCCTTTGATATTTAAAGTTTATGAGACTGGATGTTATGAAAATAATTTAAGGACATAAACAGACCTTAATTTTAAATCGCGTCTTGACAGTGCTTATTAGGTAATAAAAAGACACTCAGGTGTATTGAAATTTGGATAAAGGTTGAATTCTTCAATTTTGCAGAAAGGGAAGTTCGGAGAAAAATAAAGAGAATAAAATGTGATAAATATATAAAAACGAAATATTAATGTTAAATTAAATTTAGATATTTAGGGCATGTTACTGTTGTGCTCCAAAGATCCAAATGCATGAACGACGCGTGGAGAATTTAATTCACAAAGGTTCCCACATAGTCTTGGTTGGATCATTTTTTTAATGAAAGGTAAGAAGCTGATGAAGCCCATGTGGATCAGGAATAGGCCTTGCATCATCCCCACACAGATTAACGAAGGAACGAACTCTGCTTTCACTCAATTTTTGTTTGAGAGAATAACAATCAAGTCTCAAAGCGATCATTTTATCTCAATAAAGTCTCAAGTCTCGAGTTCCAAAATACATAGTAAATCTTATATAAAATATCCTTTAGCTGGCATTATGGTACATTAAAAAAGGACTCAAATACCCTTAACCATTATAATAGAATATTTCCAATATAGAAATTTGCAACTTCTCATTCCGGATTTACAACTTTGTTTATCTTAATTTGCAACTTGATTTCTTAATTTTATTCATAAATGCAATATTCTGACATTAAATTTTGAATTTGTTTGCAACTTATTTTCTCATGTTTGCAACTTCATATAAACAGATTTGCATCTTTATATCCAGATTTGATTTCTGAACATATATCTCAACTCCAACCATGAAAACAGAAGGCATACCACCTCCTCCCCCTCCACGATTTCCATCGCACAACCCAAATGATCAGGACTTGCATTGGTTGCAACTTGTATGTCAATGGCATGGATCGCTTCTCCCCCTCATTTCAACTTTGTCGACACCGCCTTCAGCTGCCCCGCCACCCATCCCCTTCAGCATTGGCGCTGCCGCATCGGAGTTTACTTCTGATGACTGCGAGTAGCTTTTGAGGGCTCATACGGTGCACACCATTGTGCAGGCCTCGAGGTTTCAGACCTCAGAAATGGACGTCACTGTTGTAGGTGCCGGCCACGGCATCTAAGATGGCAATGCCTCGAAATTGTAGCGTTGGAATCGGAAGGATCGATGAAGACAAGACATGTGAATTTTGAAAGCAATTTCATGACCAAGCCATCAATTCATGCTAGAAGTAGAAGCTATGCAGTTCGTAGAAGTGCAGGAGTACTCCCTTAGCAATTGATCATCAAAAGTGCAAGTCCAGATCATTCGGGTTCAGTGATGGAAATGGTGGAGGGGCAGGAGGTGGTACGCCCTTTGGTTTTCAAGGCTGGAGTTGAGATATATGCTTATCAGCAAATGAGTTGCAAATATGAGAAAATAAGTTACAAACAATTTCAAAATTTAATGTCAAAATATTGTGTTTAAAAATAAAATTAAGCAAACACGTTGCAAATCAAGGTAAATGGTGTGGTAATTTTTTTTTTTAAAAAAAGTTACAAATTTCTGTATGTGAAACATTCTATTATAATTGGTAAGGTTATTTGAGTCTTTTTAAATGTATCATAATGCCAACTAAGGACCTATGAGACTTACTTTGTATTTTAGAATTTGTTGGAATTTCATTGTGATGAAATGATCTCCCTGAGACTTAGTTGTCATTCTCTGATTTCGAAGTTCTTTCTATGGGCTTCGTTTTAAAACATTGGGTTGTAGCTCCTAGCATTCCCAAACTTGACTACTCCAACCCAACCTCATATACTCTTTTATCAAAAAAAAAAAAATCTCATATACTCTTGCCCCACCTTTCTACAACATTTTTTTTTTTAAATTTTACATTTTCAGGCCACTTGGGTCTCAAGCTAGCTTAGACATGCCTCCGGACTTCTACATTTCTTCTATAAGATAAAGTCAATACAACTGCGTGGCCCAATCAATAATTCAAGTCACAATGTTTGTTTGTTCGAAGAATTCCTAAGACCTGGAAGTGTTTTCGTTTTTCTTAAAAATCCTTCATAAATCTTTTCTTCCCCCGAAACTAATATCATTTTTAAAATATTATAATAATGATTCAAAAAATGAAGACTCCCGATAGTTTTCTATGCACAGAAAAGAGAATATATGTTTGGGATAATTACTTGAAATCCCACGCAAGGACTTTTGTCAAATTATCAATGAACCTTGTATGAAATCTGTATGTACTTGTCTGGCTCAAAGTCCGGCAAATTTTAATGTTGGATAAAATTGATTTGAAAAATATGATTTTGGAGTTTAACTACTCGTAATTTATGTTCCAAAATTTATAATCTGAAGAACGCTTTTCACCCACTGCAAAATTAGTGTTTGTTTTTAATCTTTCACTTAGCGTGAGTTCGAAAGACTTATTAATATTAAGCCTTCAAACACGAAACACATGCGCAGTTATAGTAATTTCAATAAAACTGCTCCTCCATTACTTTCGTATCACGGATAAGCTAAATGTGGAGACGAAAGACTCATCAGATATATGATTTTCTATTAAAGACTTAACGTTTCTTCAGAGACTGATAACAGATTTACAGGTGCACACAAGACAAGCAGAGAGAGACAGCAATCCCGGAACAGCCGAGTCTCAACAAGAGCCTCGACCCTGTTCTTATTTGACACAGCCACAAAGACCCATCACCGACCCAGTTGATGTACTGTGTCGGAAACAAACTAGTACAGTAGTGGGGCTCAGCCGGTGATCTGAACGGCCTTCACGTCCGGCTTCTTCACTTCCTCCTTCGGAACCGTGACGGTGAGCACCCCGTTCTCCATGGAGGCCTTCACCTGCTCCACCTTGGCGTTCTCCGGCAGCCTGAACCGCCTCATGAAGCGCCCACTGCTCCTCTCCATCCGGTGCCACGTGTCGTTCTTGTCCTCCTTCTCCTTAGTCCTCTCCCCGCTGATCTGCAGCACCCTCCCCTCCTCGATCTCGACCTTCACCTCCTCCTTCTTCAGGCCCGGCAGGTCTGCCTTGAAGACGTGAGCCTCCGGCGTCTCCTTCCAGTCAATGCGGGTGTTGGCGAACGCCACCGTCTCGCCGGCCAGGTCGGATCGAGGGGCTGAGACGGCGAAGTCCTGGAAAGGATCCCACACGTCGAGCGAGAAGGGGTCGAATATGTTGGTCCTGCGACCGGTGCCGAAAAAGCTAGGAATCAGCGACATCGTGTGGAAACTAATTGAAGAGTGAGATGAATTGCCCGGTTTAGTGTTGCTTGAGCTGCCTTGAGGATCAATGGATGAGGAAAACAAAGGAGGAGGGGGGTTATTTATAGGAAGAGAAAGGAGAAAAAGAGATGGTCGAGATGGTTCAGGAAAAGGACAGAGGAGAGTCAATCAATGGCGACGAAGACTGCAGGAGAGGGGTCTGGAAAGTTGTGGAACGTGGTCGGTGAAACAGATTATGAAAGTTGCAGATGCTTCCCGAATGTTTTCTACCACTTTTTTTTTTTCTGGTTAAATAGCGCCGCGACACAACATATTTTGTCTCTACTAAGTTTTTCTTTCCACAATGATTGGTTAACAATAAGGTAATTATTCAATACACATATATAATTCAAGCGGCCAGTCGGCCACGGCCCCTTCCGCAAAAAAAAAAAAAAAAACAATATGTGAAATTTTCAAATACATGCAGACATCCACAGATGTGTATGTATATATTACCACGTAAGCATTATTATTACGAATCATACTGCTGTAAAACAGTAAAAGTAAACGGAGCTCGAAATGAGGAGGAAGGTGAACAAGGACCCAGTTCAGGAAGCCAGACCCAATGCCATGAGTGGACGAAGTCTCAAACAAAAAGCCATCCTCAGGACAATTGGGCTGTAGTCGGCAAACCATGATCCGTTACCATTCAATGCCACGAGATTCCCCCAAAAAAAAAATGCCACGAGAGAAAAGACACATCATGTATTTTACTGTGAGGACTGAACGCCACCTCGTGCACAAGTGTCAATGTGCTGAAGAAGTGTAAATCCAGTAATCCACCCAAAGCTTTCCCAGAAAATCCTGGAGGATCCAGACCTTCCTCCTATATATAATAAGTCCTCCCTCAATCCATCTCATACGATAAAAGCCTTGAGCACGAATTCCAAACTCATCAAGCATGCCAATATGTCACTCATCCCAAGCTTTTTTGGAAATCGGCGAAGCAACATCTTTGATCCTCTCTCTGCAGACCTGTGGGACCCCCTTGAGGGCTTCCCGTTCCACAGCACCGTGGCCAACCTGCCTTCCTCCGCCAGTGAAACCAGTGCCATAGCCAGCAATCGCGTGGACTGGAAGGAGACCTCGGAGTGTCACGTCTTCAAAGCTGACCTGCCGGGTCTGAGGAAGGAGGATGTGGAGGTGGAGGTGGAGGATGGCAGGGTGCTGCGGATCAGTGGGGAGAGAAGGAGAGAGTAGGAGCACAAGGATGATAGGTGGCACCGCATCGAGAGAAGCACTGGCAAGTTCATGAGGAGGTTCAGGTTGCCGAAGAACTCCAAGATGAAAGAGGTCAAGGCCTCCATGGAAAATGGGGTGCTCATTGTCACTGTGCCTAAGCAGCAAGAGCAGAAACCTGAGGTCAAACCCAATCAAATCTCTGGCTAGTGATTCTGCGTGCTCCTCGCTTTTATGGCTTCCCCTGCTTCCGTCACCAAGCAATAATGATGAGAACTGCGTTTGTCCGTTTTGTTTCGTGTTATGCCATGTAATTAAGCAATGTTTGGCGCGTCTAAGCGGGCGGAAGTGGTTTTCGTTCTTATGTGTATGTTTTTTTTTAACAGTTACAAACAGCAAGCTTAAGGCTTGAAAAAGAAGAAAATTACGTTCTATGTATATGTTATAAATGCACTATAGCCCGACAAAAAGAAATTAACAATCATTTCCAAGCAAAAACAAAAAAAATATATATATATATGCCGCTTTGTTCTTTTGTCTCTGCCTTGAAGCCAAAATGAGAGAAAAGTAATATATTTTATTTGAATCTCCAGTTCAGTACCGTAAAAACGTCTTCCTCTAAGCTGAGTCCTGCATGAAATAATTGACAACGTAGTTTTCAACATGTGGAATACGCATGATTTCTCCTATCCCACTACCCTAAGTGGTCTTCAGTATTGCAGCTTCAGTCTAGGGGAAACCATTTTGCATCAGAATAACAGTATGCATTGACACAGCCCACAACAACAATGTTCCTTCCCCCCCTGCATGAAGCAAAAATGAAAAAGTAGGTAACATTTTTATTTGAATCTTCAGCTCAGTTTTGTAATATTATACTTTTATGACTAGCTCTAGCTGATTCCTTCATGGAATACTTAATAGAGCCCTCAATACACGGAATACATAAGATTCTAATATTCTTCTATCCCAGGTGGCCTTGGCCAATTTAACATTCTGAAGTACTGGGACTCAGTCTAATTGAATTGAAGACGCCTTGCATAAGAAAACGTATTGACACAACTTATAAGTAACACAAGTTAAGGTAAAATTCCTTAAATCCAGAGACAGGAAACCTCAAGTTCTGAAAGTAGTAGTTCACGCTCCGAAGGAGCATCAAGGGGCGTATAATATATTTGATAATATGTCGCAACAAGACAGTAATGGTAAAATCTTAGATTCAAGGTGCGAAAATGTGGCAAGGACAACACATCAGAATCACGCATTTGCCTACTGAAAAGTAGAGATCTTTTTCTAGTTCTCTAGTCGTCCAAACTTGCTAGTAACTGCAATCGGATATCGATCGGTAATGCATTTAAGCGATATTCGAAGAAGCAAAAGCATGGTAATCATGAAAACAGAGTTAGATAGTCTAAATTGCATAGAAGAGCTAGCAATTCATTAAGAGCATTCGCGTCGCGATACTAGACACTAGAGTCTTACACCGGGCAAAAGAGACATAGCGACCCATCGCACAGACAATTATTTCCCATATAAAATCCTAACCAACACCATTGCTAGTTCGTACATAGAACAAAAGGACACAGGACCTGAGATTTTAACCAGAAATTTCAATGGACCGAACGTCCTTCTTCACTCCTTCCTTGGGCATAGTCACAGTGAGCACGCCATTCTCCACCCCAGCCTTGATCTGATCAACCTTAGCATCCTCTGGAAGCTTGAATCTCCTGGAGAAGCTGCCGCTGCTGCGCTCAATTCGATGCCAGGTGTTGATTTTCTCCTCCTGTTCCCTGTTCCTGTGTTCGCTTATCTGAAGAATCTTCCCTTATTCAATCTCCACCTTCAGTTCATCCTTCTCCAGACCGGGCACGTTGGCTTTGAACACGTGCACCGTAGGAGTCTCCTTCCAATCCACGACAGCGTGAGCAAAAGACAACATCAAGCCAGAGAGGGGCTGAGAGGGCCATCATTCAAGAGGGTCCCAAACATGCGGTGAGAATGGATCGAAGGTGTTTGATCGACGGCCAAACAAGCTTGGAATCAACGACATGGTTGTGGATAGCAGACGCAAAAGCAAAATTCAGAGAAAGTGAGAAGAGGGAAACGATTGGGGATTTAGGGTGGGGAGTGGATCAAAGCAGAGTACAGAGAGATAGGACTGTTCATGATGGTTCGAGAATGTTCTATTTTGGATGGTTGGGATTGCACGAAGTCAGGTCCGTGTACATGATCAGAAACATACGCAGAGCGATACTAGAAGCTTCCATTTGTTAGAATTTGCATGTTACTCTGCACTTGCTGGCCAAGCTGAAAGGAGGATGTCCTGCCACTCGGATTTTGTGCCTTGCAGTTTTTATTTTTCTTTTTTTAATAAATTTTAGGCGACTTAATACATTTTGTTTTATAAATAATACATTTTGTTATATTTTTTATATGAGATACAAATATAAATTATAAAAAATAAGTAATTAATCAAAATAATTAGGCAAAATATACTTATGAATCTTTACAATTTTACTCAATTTTAAATTAGGTCATTACAATTTATTTATTTTAGTCAAACCCCTATAATTTCATCTGTTATATACATTGATCCTTAAAAGTTAAAATTAATAATAAATCATTAACTTTTACAAAATAAAAATACTCATGAAGTTTGCAGAAAATTTAATTCAATACTTTTAGTCAAAAAAAATTGATTTAATCTATTTTTTATATTTTTAGTATTTTTTTATGAAATTTCTACACATATAAAAAATATTTAAAAGTGTACTTAATTATATAAATTTTAAATTATAAATATTATGTAATTAATTTTAAAGTCGTATAATCATTTAATAAAAATATAAAAATTCTTAATTTTGTTTTTTAAAAGGATTTTAATTTTTAAAGATTAAAAAATTTAATTAATTAAATTATAAGGTTCAATTAAAATAAAGTAAATTATAAAGACTTAATTTAAAATTGAGTAAAAGTTATAGATATATTTTCTCAAATAATTAAAACTTGATTCGAATTATCTAAGATTATAATGAAAATAGAGTAAAATGAAACTGCGCAGAAGAGAAGGCGACCTATTATTTCTATTGCCGTTCCCAATAAAATGTTTCATGGCAATAAACCAGTAACCAGATTTGGACGTATCACTTGGTATCCAATCTCATCCGCCCATTTAATTGCCGTTGCTTCGGTCCAGTGTTGATAGGGGTGAGTAGACAACCTGTAGCTCGTCAAACCTGCCTATACCGGGTCAAAAATAGGTAAACTAAAATTCACCCACTGTAAAAATACGGGTGGGCTGAATTTATGAGCTAGCTCGGTTTTATTGTAAGTGGGCGGAACGCACTACGGGCTAGTCCCACCCTATTTACAAATTAACATTAAAAAAACAAAAATTAGTTTGAATGCTGCATTTATCAAGGGGGCACAAGCAAACAAAAAGAGAAAATCTCTCGAAGTGCCCCACTCGCTCTTGCTCTTCACAATCACTCCTCGCTTGGTGGCTCAGCCTCAGCACTCGTGATCTCGTCTCTCAGTCCCACTAGCTCTTGTCTCCCTGCTTCATCGTCATCGTGCCACCCTTGCCGTCTTGTGCTTGTCTTCGCTTTGCAACTCCATGACCATGAAGCTCTCCACGACTCCACCTTTTGTGATCATGATCGTGACCGTCGGTGAAGTGGACCTCTCCTCTACTGCAGTTCAACAGCCCTTGGGCAGAGGCTACCTGATGAAATCGCACAGAATAAATGGATGAGAATAAAGATGAAATTTAGAATGTTATGGAGCGGACAATAAGAGGAATGTAATGGCGATTTCAAATCTTGAATTTGTATAGATGGAGGGGGGAGAGAGAGGAAGAATGTAGAGAGAAGGAGTAGAGTATGCTGTCGTTGAACTGTGGCTTCTTCTTTGCTTTTTCAGAAAATATTCTATTGAGATCTGGATTCTACCTTCTCCTTAATTTTCTTTTCATCATCATCTTTCTTTCTCTTCCTTGGCAATCTCTCTCTCTCTCTCTCTCTCTCTCTCTCTCTCTCTCTCTCTCTCTCTCTCTCTCTATATATATATATATATATATATATGACAATTTAGTGTTAGTTTTTTTTTTGTCGGTTTCTTTTTTTGATTTTTAAATTTTTTTCTTTTTTTTTTAATTTTATCTGGGCATGCTACACTCTCAAATTTAATATTATTTTTATTTGGACATACACAAAATAAGTTGGTTCAGCCCACCCATATCTAGGCTAGTCCAACCTGTTGTCAAACTGGTTGGAACAAGTCACATACAAGTATGGGATGGCTCAGCCTATTTTGTGCAAAATGTGATGGGCAGCAAGCAACACCTCAATCCAACCTATTCCATCCATCGCACAACCTTAAACCTTGTTTGGTAAGTGGAATTGCAAGGGTGAGAGTAGGATTGAGAGTGTGTTAATCTACTTTTACAATATTTGGTATAAAAGATTGTTTGTTACTTGAGATTGTTGAAACAAACATAGATGGGATTGGGCAAACCCACAGGGGAGGTAGTATTGAAAATTTAATCTTAGGATTAAAATTTTTTAAATCAAAATGCCCTCTTTTTTGTCAAACCACCACCATTGAAATGTAGCTTCTCTCATATGTCTCCAATCAACTTCTCCTCCCTCTCTAGTCATTATCTCTCTCACCTCTTTGCCCTTGCCCCTAACCCCATCTCTCACCATTCTCTTACTCAATCTAGTTTACCAGGGCTGTCCCTAGCATTGACGCTATCCTCCACTACTAACAAATTCGTCTTCGTCCCTTCTCCTTCCGTCCTCAGTTGTGGTGTCATTGTCTCTAGCTCAAATCGGGTCATTGAAATAGCCCTGGACCACACCAGTTATGCCAATTCACTCACAACCTCGTCTTGGAACCTTCCTTATTTAGAAACTCTTGATGTATCTGACAACTAGTTTTTCAGTTGGATTTTGCAGTCCTTCTCCAATCTGACTCATCTTCACTAGCTTGCCTTGTTCGAGAATTTGTTGGATGGTGAGATTCCCTCTTCCATTGATTTCCTATCGAATTGCACGTCAATAACAAAGAGATGGGTTTTGAAAATTTTTTTTATTAATTATAAGAGGTATTATAGTCTTTTTATAATTTATGTTTAGTTATAAAATAAGATGGAGGAAAGTATTCATTATAATTATTACTCTATACCAAATATAATTTTAAAACCATAATTTTAATCCCAGTTCTAATCTCAATTCCTTCAAATTCAAGCCTGCATAACAAACAGGGCTTAAGTGTAAGATTACTAATTATAATATTAAAATAAATATAATATTTATTTTATGGTTATGATTAATAAGCATTATGATATTTTTATAAAACCTAATTATTTTAACACCATAATTAACAATTCCACAACATTAAACCAAAATAATAATTAATTGAATGGATGAAATTGGTCATGGAGAGGGAACATGGGGAGGATTCAAATTCACAATAACTAATAAAAAGATAAAAATAAAAATAATAAAGTCATTGCAACTTCTTGCATACATGATTTTATTCAATGGCTCCGTGGTTAAAACGTTCCCTACATGAATCTATTTCATGTCTTCCTATACATTCATGAACCGCCTGATCTCCACCTTTATCTTATTCAATGTCCAAGATAAAATGAAAATTCAACTCAATCTATCAGTTAAATTAATAAACTATTAAATCAATGTAGTTTAATAAAATGTTTTATTTATAATCAATTTAATTATAATTCAATTATAATTTTAATCATTAATCCTGAAATTAGTACTTTAACCAATTTGATAACTTATCCTTTTTTCATTACCTTTCCACCATCTGTCTCCATGAACTCTCGAAAACCACTGCATCCATCTCTCGGTAGAGAGAGGTATTTTCTCTCACCATCAAGAGCCGTTATAAAATTAATATGGTAAATCGAAATCATAAATACTGCAAGACTAGCCATCATTCTTATTGAAAATCTCCTTTTCAATTATCAGATAAAATCTCTCTCTCTCTCTCTCTCTCTCTCTCTCTCTCTCTCTCTCAGTTTTTTAAATTTATTTACTTGTTTTTTCCCAACATTTATAGCTCATCTTATACTTTGAACATGTGTACCGTGTGAGATGCTGTTCTATTTACAAAATGTCAAAAGGACAGCAGATTTACAGGCCTTCGTCGCTATCACTGGGACTTGAATCATCCACGTTAATCGCTGCCACTTTAGAAGTGCTAATCCTAAAAGAAGCAGAACGAATCTTAAACGGCAACCTGGGATTGCTTTGGACCACTCCACACTCAGGTTCCCCTTTCTCTTCCTCTTTCTTCAAATCGCTAGGAGGCAGGAAGCAATCAATGGACAAGCCCTTGATGTTAAAATCCACTTCTTCAATCTCCCAAGCCTCTTCCATTCTCGTCCTCGAATTACTCTCAGGTCCTTCCCCAAACCTAAACAGGGACACCGAACTCTTCCCTGCGTGTGCTATCTTTATGGCATCTACGTTCCTATAATCTTGTATCACCGATTCCATGGTGGTTTCCCAGAATACGCCGTCGTTCCCGGAGGATTTGATTCTAAGTAAGTGCGAGTCTTTTAGTTGTACCAGCAAGCCAGTTCTTTGACTGAAGTAGCCCCACATAGTGTGCCGTATTATCTCTACATTGCTGCTACTTCTTGCTCGAAGTGCTGAGGATTCGGCTTCCAGCTTTAATATGAAACAGTCCTCGTTGTTCACTGTCTTCTCACCTATGCATACAGAGTTCATGAACAGAGTGGCTGTCGATCTTGGATCAAGGCCCTGTGCAAAAGAAGAAGAAGAAGAAGAAGAAGGAAAAATTCATTTTTACAATTCATAAGAAGCCAGGAGCTGGTCGTAGTAATTTATGAGTTTGACTCAAGTCCCCATCATATGTATTAGGACATAGGCCCAGTACGAACATTTCTTTTTAGAAGTCTAAAGGAGGAAGAGTCCAGGTTGTCACGACGTCTCAAAGGGAATATATTGTCAACGCCTTAATAAAAAGAACGATAATTGTTTGGCTTTAGAGGAAGACGTTTAAATCCGCAATCCCCTCTTATTTGTAGACTTTTTCCCCCCGCTTTAAATCTAATTGGAGAACTTCGTTAGAGGGCTTCAACCAACAAGTGCAAATTTCTAAGGATCTACAAGGAAGGTGGGTCAACCTTTTCCCATACAATTTTTTCTTATAGCTCGTGTTGTCTTCTTTCGTTTTTTAATTAGCTTAAGGCGTATAAGGGAATAGGCCGACAGCATTACCAAGTCCCAACCATTTATTTTGTCCAGACTCCAGATTACGAAAACAGGGAAGCCACATCAATCAGAGTGATGAAACAGCATATGTGAAAACTCTGAATTCAGAATTCAGGCTTGATGAATATTGACGAAGATAATAGGTAGTCTTAATGAGAATTATAACGTTTTTTCGGGCCTTTTGTCCCTACCGCTGAATATCGATCAGAGGAACCTCACTAACACAAAAGGAAATTTATCTTTAAAAAGTGGATTCAAACAGATTCCAACGGGGATAAACTGAAGTTAGCAGAAACAATGAACAAAATGACTTATGACCTTACCAATCTTGGTGTTTGACATGAAAAATGATCCAACATGCCTAAACCAAATGCATCAGTAATTTTTGTGCTTTATCTGTTACCTGTAGGAAGCGCCTGAGAGGTCTTGGTGGGCCACGAGAAGCATGAGAGTGATGCCAAGGGGTTTGCCTCCATGCTACATTTCCGTCGCTCCCGGCGCTGATCTTGTAACCAGAAACCATCAGTTCCAAGCACCATAGCTCCGGCCGCTTCTGCCACACGACGAACCCTCCCATCTCTGTCGATGTCTCTGCCTTCTTCACCTTCACCAACTTCTTTCCACCATTCACGTGCCCTTCCCCTGCGCCAAACTCCGATGTCCCCATTCTCACTTGCCCCATCGCGTACATGCTTTCTATCGAATTCAACGCACGCTCTCCTCCCACCGCCGCCACATACTGTTTCACTATGTATTTCGCCATGGACGCCTCCTGCACACGCAGATAACTCAAATTTAGCCAAACATCACAATTTCGGATTTCTTTTTTTCAGTACGATGAATTTCTAACTCATTACTTACAATATGCAGGTCTTTAATGCCACGACTAATGGGCTGGCTCTCGGAGTTGATAGGGAAAGGGATTAACGGGGCCCCGACGACGCCCAACAAAAGTTGGATCTCCGTGTTGCGGCTTCCATAGACCCCCGCCGATGATCTAGAATCAGTACTGGGCTTCATCCAGGACATCATGTTCTGCCAAGCTCTGGCGGTTCCGCTCTTGGTGGTAAAAACTTCTTCTGGGATTGGGACCTCGAGCACCGTCTCGAGCGCATCCTCGCGATCGAGATTAGGGCAAAGCTTCTTCATGAGAGAAGCCGGAGAGAGATTAGGCTACTGCGAGAGAGGAGCAGAGTTTGAAGAAGAGAGAAAGAGGGAAGTGGGAGATGAAGAGGTTAGTACCAAACGGATATGGGTCCCCTTGGCAACGTGGTCCGCTTTGTGTGTCGTGAAGGCACGCCTCTCTCTTCCCCACTTTTCCCACCTTCTTAAAGGAAATCTTTTACACTTTAAAACTAGATTTCGTTATCTAGATGGGTTGAATTGGGGAATTCGTTTCAGGTTAAAAAAAAAAAACATGAGTGCTATAAGTATATAATAATAATAATAATAATAATAAATTTATTATAAAATTTATATTTTGCACATAATTAAATTCATATTACATTCAAACATATTGAATCGAATAAAAAGTTAGTCTAATTGTGGAAATGAATTGCCAAAATTTTCGGACCTAAGTAGCTGTAATTCTATGATTCGGAACCTATTTAATTTTCTCTATAAAAATCGGCTTGATAATTTAAAATTAAATAAAATTCATGGAAATCAATTGGGAAGATGTTTTAAACAGAATGATATTGTAGAAGATAAAATCTTTGGAATAAAATCTATTAATTGTTTCTAAAAATATTTATATTTGGGTATTTGCTAAGATAATTAAGTAAATAATGTAAGTGAGCATATCAATAAATAAATAAAAAAGATATCAATGTGACTTTAATTCCATTATATATCTGTTTATTTCACACTTCGTGTGTGGCACGAGCAGCGTACTAGTTATTATTAGTTATCTTAAATTTTGATTTTTTTTTTTCTTTTGGGGGGACCAACCTAAACTTTGAATTCAACGGCCTTCTATTGTTGTGAAGGAATGAGATGAATTCTGCGATAGATAGAGGTAAAAGCGAAACAAAATTTTGGGGAGGGAGACGAAGCGCGTGATTAATTAATGATCAATTAATTGAATCATTTAACCTTCATATCACTAGTAAAAACCAAGATATATTAGATATGGTGAGAAGCAGGGAAAGACCGACATTCGAAGGCGAGAATGGGAGCCCATGGTGGATTATTTGGATTAGCTAACGACACGATCACATGAACAATGAATCTACGTATGTGTAGGGCAGCTGCGCGCGTTCCCCCTTTCTTGTCCTATTTTAGTAATTCTTAATTTTGATTAGCCGAACGGACCCATAATTGCAGCGGCACGTATCCAAATCCGATTCGGCTGTGCATCCAACGCTTTTTGGCGACAAAATGACAGTGTCCTCTCCAATAATGTCCTGCACGTTCTCATGCCAAAAACCTTGCGTGGGAGTGGCCACCTGGTAATTTAATTATCTTCTTTGTTTTCAATTCATCACTTCCCTGACTTTTCATTTAATCCCTTATTTATTTTTATTTTTATATACTGTATGCTGTCTTCCACCACACCTCCCTAGGGTAGATTCCCTGACGTCCTGTTTGAATCTTTCGGCCACTTCCCTCTTGCATTCATAGACAAAAAGGAACCAAACACTACAAGTCTACGACACAAGTTTGTCTTAGTTGCTTCGTATATATTCGTCAAATTAAGCAATCTTACAGTTATCAATATTAAGACTTTCGTAATGGTGCTGAAAATGCAAGAGAGGAAAATTCTATGCATTGGATGACTTTTAGAAGGAACTTAATTAGGAATTTTGTATGGAAAGGCATTTTATGTGAATGGCTTCCTCAGAGCCGCACGGAATTGACGCATCCACGTCAGCTCACATAATATTACTGCTGGGAGAGAAGACAGAGATTAATTGAGTGTACAGCACCGAATTGGAATCCAGTTGTGATTATTTTGGCAAATGCGATAGCTGTGAATGAAGAGTGATTAGGGCAGGGGGAAATGATGAATGATGATAAAGCTAATGAATAATTACGCCTGAAATGGATGGAAGTCGACGGGAGTTTGGATCCCACGTGCCAGACACGTGAAGGAAGAAGATTCAAATGCACGTAACGCTAGAGGAACCAGCGCTGATAGCGGCGACTTAGTCGGACCAACGCCTACACTCACTCACTCATAGGATTCTAATCCCAACCTCATCCAATGTTCCAACTTTTTCACTTCACCACACAACAACAGAACACAAACTCTAAGAAGAAAGCAGAGTAAAAAACTGAAGCTTCGGTAGTAATAGAGATGTGTGACTCTGCCATTGCGAGTGAGTCTTATGAGCGAAGGAGGTCGGCAGAAGAAGCTGATCTTCTTTCACGTAGCAGGAAGAAAGTTCGTAAGAAAGGCGATGAGGAAAAACTGAACATGGATACAAACGATGGTAAAAAAGATACAATCCCATACAGAGATAAGGTGCTAAAACTCCCAACCGATGGGATTAGTAGTCAGAACAAAGGAAAAGCAGCCATGGAAGATGCCTGGAAAGTGTATATTGATGTATTGAAGTGCTTTTTCAGCGAGTCTACACCTAACCATAGCCATGGCAACAGCAATAGGGGCCAATATCGCAAGCATGATAACCTATGTCCATCACTACAGATTACACAGGCTCAATATGAGGCCTGGTGTGAACCTTGGAAGAAATATCTAATTATAAAAACACTAAGGATGAGTATGTCTATATACAAGCTTCATCCGAAACTAGAAAACATTTGGAAAACACAGCATAAATTTAAACTACTTGGTCTTGAAAATGATTATTTCATTGCCTTATTTGAGGCTAATGATGACGTAAAGTACGTGTATCAAGAGGGACCATGGAGGGTTGCAGATCATTACATCTTAGTTCAATGTTGGAGGCCAAACTTTGATCTTTAGAATGTCAATGCTCACCAGAAGATTGCAGCGTGGGTCCGAATCCGAATAGTACCTATTGAGTTCTATAATCAGGAATCTTTGTGGGCACCTTGGGTCAATGATAGGTAGAACATTAAAGGTTGATTTAGCCACGTCCATGAGATCCTATGGCCGACTTGCGGGAGTTTTGTATGGAGCTAGATCTACATCTCCAGCTTTTGCCAACACTTGAGATTTTTGGCCAAACCTTGTTACTTGAATATGAAGGATTACATCTAGTATGTCTTATTTGTGGTATTTTTGGTCATCACAAGGATATATGTCCTGAGCTTATGTAAGGAAAGTATGAAGTTGAAGGTATAGAAAGAGACAGAAGGTTTAGGAGGCAACCCAGAATGCTTAAGCGACTATGATAGTGATGAATACGGAGGTTATAATAGATAAGCCTGATCAAAGCACTCATCGGGAGAACCATGCTGAGTTAAGGAAGAGAACTCGAGAAGAGCAACAATGTCAGAATAATCCTAGACATGTTCATGGTGGAATGCCGCCACCAACGTCGGAATTTGGCTCGAAAAATCTTGTTAAATGGCCAATACAACGGCGTGCTAATGCCGCAGGTCCCGTAAATCTAGTGCCAATGTGGCATGGGCAAGAAAAAGGAAAATCTGGAGGAAATTGTAATCGAGATCCGTGCGAGAACAAACGATCAACTGATAAAGACTCAGAAGGAAAGAAACAGATTGCTGCAGAGTTGGTCATGAGTGAGAAGATTTTGGCTGATAAGGTAAGATACCTACCAGGATGGACGAAGGAAAATTGCGCCACTAAAACTGATTCACCTTTCAAAAAATCTGGGAGTAAATCCTGAAATCGTAAGGGACAAATTGGAGATCGTCGGTTTGGCAAGGAGGTTAGCAATCAAAGGGCCCAGGTTCGTGTGGCATTTAAAGGAGAGCCAAGTTTGATTAATATGACAAGAAAAGAAAACCTCATTGACATGAGAAGTGGGCGACCGAAGGGCCCAATCCAACAGGTAAGGCTTTTAACATTGACATGTTTTAAAAATCACTAACCCTTTTGAATCTTTGGACTAGCTAGGGGATTCAGTGTTGGATGGGCTTGAGAGTGATCCACATCACGTGCTTAATGATAAAATAGGCCATGAATGAGATGGGCCAGGTGGAATAACGATCCATGGTTAAAAAGAAAATGGGCTTATAATGATGGAGCAGAATAGGAGTGCTTTTTAGGATGGCAATGGCTTAGAGCCTCTCGATGAAGATCATATTCATCCAAAATCAACACCTAGTCTTGATTAGGTGTTGATTTTGCCTCACATGCTAATGCTTTGAAAGCCTAGGGAAACAGTGTGGGAAGTAATTTTATGACTTGCAAAGAGAATTTGAGGGCATTTCATCCCCTCCCCTTTCTTTAATTGTTTTTTATGAATTGTCTCGCCTACAATTCTCATGGAACAAGATCAAAAACATTTCCAAATTTGATCAGGAATATTCAGAACTTTTACAAAGATGACATGGTTGTTATTTTAAAAACCCGATGTAGTAGTATTAAAGCCCAACAAATTATTGATAAATTAAACTTTCATGGTAGCTACATGGTTGATGTTATTAGTTACAGTGGAGGGATTTGGTTTCTTTGGAAGGATACTATTAAGATTATTAATATAATTGAAACTACTAATTACTTTGTTCATCTTTCTTTTGAAGATTCAAGAGGACAAGTGGGTTTCACAACTCTTATTTATGCTAGTCCAAATACTATTAGAAGGAGATCTCTCTGGGCTGAGTTAGTGCACATAAGTGAACATATTTGTGGCCCTTGGTTTCTTGCAGGAGATTTTAATGCTACTTCTCTTTTTTATGAGATTGAATGCCCCCTTTAGTACTACTACTAATAAAGATTTTTGCTAATGGCTTGAATAAATGAATCTGAATGATGTTAGCTTTAATGGTCCAAAATTCACATGAAAGAGAAGAACTATCAAGGCTCGGTTGGATTTAGTGCTTGCTAATACTGCATTTCTTACTACTTTCCTGGATGCTTTGGTTATGCATCTCCCTTTTTACAAATCTGACCACAGGCCTTTATTACTCAAACTTCAAGGGGCGCAACAAATTGAAAGAGTAGGTAGGCCTTTCCGCTTTATTGCCCTATAGGTCCTTCAAGATGATTTTCCATCTTTTGTTCATAAAAGCTAGGACGATAAAACCAAATGGAACAAAAATACTCAAGATTTTGCTGAGGCTTGTTTTAAATAGAATAAGGAAGTTTTTGAATTTCGAAGCTCAAAAAAGAAGACTTCTTGGTAGATTGGATGGGATAACAAGGAAGCTGACTTTTTGTGGGTAAAATAGTGAGTAGGAAAGCCTTCAACATAGTCTCTGGCTTGAGCTTGAAGAAGTTATGACTCAAGAGAATTTTCTATGGGCTCAAAAAGCTTGTTAAGATTAGGGCATTCACGGAGACAAATACTAAATTTTTCCACCAAGTGGCAAATGGTAGAAGAAAACATAATAGAGTGAACACCATTTGCAATGAAGTTGGGGAATGGGTTTATGATACTGGTGATATTAAACCCATGGCCACTTCTTTCTTCTCATCACTCTTTTATGAAGCTATCAAGAATAGAGATAAGATGAATTGTCTTAAAACATTTTCGCTGATTGATGCTAATATGATTAGACATTTTAATGAAGATGTGTCTGAGTTGGAGATAAAAATGCTTTATTTGATATAGGTGCCTTGAAAGCTCCAGGACTATATGAACTGAATGCCCTTTTATTTCAAAGTTAATGGGAGCATGTTAGGGAGTCTGTTGTGTGTATGATTAAACATCTTTTTGATAATCCTTCTAGTATAGATTCTGTTAATGGTACTCTTATTGTCCTTATTTCTAAAACTGATCACCCTGACACTTTTAGAGATCTTTGTCCCATAAGTCTTTGTAATGTGATCTATAAAGTAGTCACAAAAATTATTACAAAGAGGATGAAAAGTTTCCTTCCTAATATCATTAGTCTTAATCAATGTAGCTTTGTGCTTGGGAGATAAAGCTCAAACAATATTATTGTGGCACAGGAAATTATCCATATTATGAGAAACATGAAAAAGGAGAAAAGTTTCATGGCAATTAAAATTAATATGGAAAAAGCCTATGTTAGGGTAAATTGCAACTTCTTAAGGAATTGTCTTTTGAAACTTCAACTCCCACATTAGATGATCAAAGTTTTTGGACTTGTGCAATGACTTCTTCTATGCAATTACTTTAGAATGGTGGCTAAGTGGATCCTTTTACTCCCTCTTATGGAGTTCGGTAAGGAAACCCCATTTCACCATACCTTTTTGTTATTTGCATGGAGAAGCTCACCTAGTTAATCCAACAAAAGATAGATAATCGCAAATGGAAACTAGTTAGACTTTGTAAGGATGGCCCTCCCATCTCTCATTTACTTTTTGTTGATGATATTGTTTTTTTTGCAGAAGTTTTTCTTGAATAGGTTGATGTGGTTAATGAATGTTTAACCAAATTTTGTGAAAGCTCAGGATTAAGGTTAATGTTGCGAAGACTACAGTGTTTTTTTCATCAATTGTCCATTATCATCAAAGTATAGAACTCAGCAATGCTCTTGGCTTTACTTGTATTATGGATCTCAAGAAATATCTGGGCATTCCTCTTCTTCATAAATAAGTTGATGAGGATACTTTTAAGGACGTGATTGATAAGGTGAAAAAGAGACTCACTAATTGGAAGGCTCACTCACTTGCGCTTGCAGGAGACACCACTCTGATTAATTGTATCACTTTGAGTATTCCTACATACACTATGCAAAGGGCTAATATTCTCGCTATAACTTGTGAGGAGTTGGAAAGAAATAATCAAAATTTCTTATAAGGTACCATTAGTAAAAAGAGGAAGATTCACCTAGTTGCTGGGGATAAGGTTTATAGACCCAAAACTCAAGGTGGTTTAGGAATTAGACACACTCATCTTCAGAATCAAGCTTTCCAAATGAACCTGGGGTGGGGTCTCATTAAACGCTATGATGACCTCTGAGTTCAAGTGATCAGAAGCAAATACCAGTGTGGATTGAATCTTCTTCCTTAAATTTATAAAATTTTATAAATATTGTTAAAATATCAAGTATTTTATTTAAAACATTACACCACTTAATTTAATATTTTAATATTTTTTATATATCATAATTTTGTATTAAAAATGAAAGGAATGGACTTTAAAATTAATAAAGAAATTTTTTCTTCTCATCTCTCCATTTTTCTCTTGTTAAGTAACTTTTTTGTAGCACATTAATGGAATAAATGATATCTTTTAAATTAACATTTTTTGCATATTGTTAGTTCTAATTTGTCATGTTTTTTCTTTCACTCCTAACACTACAATATACAGAGAATATTAAATCTAGGTAATGTAATATTTTGGAGAAAGATCATTAGTTGACTAAAAAAATTATAAAAAATGACCTAAAATTTAAGAAATTTAGCCAATATTAAAAATATGAATAAGTTCTAATAGGCACAAAAGATATAAAGATTTGGACACTGTCTCAGAGAGAGAATCGATATATAAAAAATAAACCATCATTTATAAATTTATAAAATGTTAGTTTGAGTTGTTAATATTTAAAAAGTGATTTGTAAATTTTGAATGCATATTTATAAATAATAATATTTAAATTATTAAATATGAAAGTATTTAATATTTTGCCAATATTTATTAAATTTTATTTTAATAAGACTTTAAGGTACTCAATGCTCCTAAAAAAAACTTTAGGGTGCCCAACGCTTTTAAAAAAAATTTATGAATAAATTAGTATCAAAAGATATAATCAAAGTGTGCATGGATCTCACTCACATTCACTTCAATAAATAATAAAAAAAAAATTAATAGCCTCCTAATAGAAATGTGTTTTTGGACCTTGAAAAAACATTTTAGAAAAAAAAAATTATCACACTTAAAAATATAAAATACCCTACACTCTTAAAAAAATAAATACAAGAACAAAATTAACTCTTAATTTAAGAGAAAAAGAATATAGGAGGGCAAGGTTGCAATAATGAGTTTGGAAGATGCGAGTCTAAGTTTGAAGGAATCTGGAGATGGATGACATGACAGACGAACCAAAATGGGGCTAAAATTAATGACAACTGTTTTTTATTGGTTCTGATGTGTGATCATTGGGCCTTAGGGCCCATCGTCTTGCCCCCCAAATAAAAAATAAAATTAAAGAAGCTTGAGAGTTGAGACACTGGGGACAACTCAAGACTTCTATTGCTTGTGTCATCCAAAGTAGCGAAAATGGGTCTGTTACTCCATGAGAGAACATGGGATTTCTTTTTTTGAATTTCAAAGGCAAGCCTAAGCTTGAGGATTAAAGGGGTTACAGAAAAGCAATGTAGTCTCCTAACCAAAAGCTAGTGCATAAGTGCAATCAAAAGGAGCAACACTGAAACAGGAATGAGGTGGATATTAGTCCTTGATTCACGAGCTGTTTTTGCCAAAAAAATCTGCACATTTGATGCTGTCTCTGTGAGCATGATTTATTTCAATCTCCCAGCCACTATAAATGAGATCTCTTGGATCCATAATCACATGTCTAAATTGATTATCTGAACCGCAATCACGAAATAGAAGATTCAAAGCTTCCAATGCGTCTGAGAAGCCTCTTTGTTTGCATGATTCCAAACCTGTCTTAATTGCTGTAATATCTGCAATTGATATAGCTGAAGAATCTAGACTGCATTTGAAGCCTAGGAGCCATTCTCCCTCGCCATTCCTAATCACCCCTCGCATGCCGAGTGATGGGATTCCAGTATAGCATCCAAGGCAGCTTAGGTTTCAAAGGATAAAGACAATAAAAGTTACTGTAGGCTATGGAATCGAGGTTGTAAAATTTAAAAATTGCAAGACTAGATTATATTCTGATTGAAGAAAAGGGATGATTTAATCTTTTTAAGTTTAAATTATTTTCATTTCCCACCTTTTTTAAATTTTAGCAAATATCACTTACAAAAATATTTTGATTGGTTTAATAGAACATCCTGTTTTTAACTTATCTCATTGCGATTTTAATTATTAAACTTTTAAACTAACGTAATGAATAAATCAATTTTTCAATACCTTAATTAAAACTCTTCTATACGCTGGTAAAAAAAAAAAAAAATCTCTTCTATTCAGGGTTTAGTAGAGTTTAAAGGTGTGTACCATCTTGCCTGCCTCCTAAGAAAAGTACTCCTTTGATCTGGTGTAACATTAGATTAGTAACATCACATCACATCACAGAAGCGTGGCATACTTGAGATTGCCACAAAAGACTACTTTAAAGACTTGTTACTTTTTAAAACATTAATTTGTATTTAGGTGAAGGTATATTTTTACCTTTAAAATATTTTTTATGAAACACTTAATATCTCAACATTTTTATTAAAATAATTTTATTCTTAACATTATCAAAAAAAAAACGTCCTTTTTGGCAGATTTTTTAACTATCAATGTTTAAAGTCAATGTCAAAAATTTAACAGAAAAAATAAAAATGTTCTGTTTTGATAATATGAGGGACAAAATTGTTTTAACAAAGATGTTAAGAAGCTGAGTGTTACTCAAAAAATATTTTAAGAACAAAAATGCATTTTCACCTTTTGTATTTTCATTTAGTTTTCAGCAATTAAAGTTCAGTATGCATTTAAATTAAAGGACAGATATAGTTCACTGAAACTCGTTCATAAAAAAACTCATTCTAAAATGTGAAGCAAGGAAATTTGCTTTTCGACCTCTTGATCCCAATAACTAAAATTAATATCATTGATTTATCTCCCTAATATATATACCAATATAAATACAGGCTCGCATAATATAATATTTTCCCTCACATGTTCCAGCTTGTCCGTTGAACGCAAATTCTACATGTAGGAGTATCAGAAGGGAAAATGAGAAGTTTACAACGTAATATAGATTCAGCCATTCAAGCAAGGAAACAAGGATTGGCAGTGCGTGGTACTCTTTTAGGCTGTCCCAAAATAAGATCAACAACAGTACAACAAAAATTATACAATATTCAGTCGTGCTGGGTCTGATATGCACATCACGTATGTAACGCAGCTTCAATAAAGCATGGATGAGTCACAGATACTGAGAATGTTACCAGTTTCAAGGGTCATGTGGTCGTCTGTTAACCCTCAAAGCCTAACTTACCTGCTTCATCCAAAAGTTGCAGGATCTCATGAGGGTACATTGAAGTGAAAAAGCCAAGATATGACAAAGGCAAAGACCATACAGGCTAGCAGGAAATTCAAGAATCTGTGGCCCCTCCAGAAACTTCGATTTTCAGCATGGGACGCAGGTCCAGTAGGGGGTGCCATGGTGGCATCGTTTGCCTCGTTCCACTGTTCAACTGTTTCAACTTCAAAAGCTCCAGTTACATTGTGCGCAATTGATCCACAGATTTCACAGGTTCTGGTAGCCATGCAAATAAAGTAATTAATGCAATAACATTTACAGCATTTCTTCGAGACAAGTTTTCCAGTAGTTTCATCTGAAAAATCAATTTCCAATAAGATGCTTTGCATCCCAGATTCAGATGAATTAGTCCAAATTTTAGATTATGTAATCCAAAAACCTTTTTTCAAAGAATTTCAAAAGCTTTGCTTAACTTCACTAGGACATAAACTTTATCATAAGCCAGCTTGTGCATGATAGTTGTGCCAGAAAACTATTGCTAAACTATTGAACAACTGATACAAGATATCAGACTTGCCACTAACCCTTCCAGCCCAAAAAAAAAAAAAATCATTCTCAAAGTTTAGTGGAAGGACTATACATTACAAAGATAAGACAAGCCTTAGGCTTTTCTTGAAAAAAGTGAGATTTATGGTCAGTAGCATCTTGAATTAAAATGACAGATTGAAAAGTATCTTCTAGGATTCTAACCACAAATTGGATGAATTAACATGGCAAATCACGAATATAGAAAACTCCAGGACAAAGATAATGTTAAATCCAAAACTTCAGACTTGTAAAAAGATTAATAAATGAAGTGGTCACATGTAGTCAAGGGATTTCAAATTACAATCAGAGTCAGAGTGGCTTGGCATTATAGGACAATTTTTTGCAATGCCTCCTTCACACGAAAGCATCCACAATAAATAAACATATTTGTGACTGAATTATTTCTACAACCACCCATTGGAGTAACAACCCTCCAGGCTTGCGGTAGGAAATCAATTTAAGAGCTCATGTAAAGGATTCCTATACTAATTGAGTTCCTAGGTCATGGTTATAATTGCAAGTTTTTTCACGAGACCAGAGAACCATATATGATATTCCCACGAATTTCTCTTTTTCGGTGGCTCACCCAAGATTCACTCCCAAATAGTTGGTTTTTAAGCCAGTGCCAGTCACAAGATGGAGCGACAGGTGAACATAGAACTTCATGAGATGCAGGTAAATCACAAAACTCCATTATGTACGGCACACCAAGCCATAATTTTACTTGAAGGAAGACAGCAAGGATATAATCGATTAAGCCAATGCACAAACTTGAACATCACAGCAACCACCATGAAGGTTGACTCAAATATAACAAGTCAACCTGCATAACAGTCGAAAACCAATTTGTTAGGCAGAAACATGATATGCATATTTGGACCTGCAGACAAGTTATTTGTAGCCATAACATCCTCTTTGCCAGGTAATAACACATTTCATGTGCTCTTAGTTACATCTCCGATGATGTAGCTCGATCCATTTTTCACTTGCTCCCAGCGATTTTTTCCCCCCAAATTCAAGTTAATTCACGATAAGTACGGTCCTTTAGCCCGCATTATTTCACCGCCTTTTGGGGACATATGTCAAACGGTAAGCAGAAATTAATCAATTCTAAATCCAAATGATCCAGATTTAACAGCAACAATCTGAGAATCAGAGTGCCGAAGCCATTCTCACAAATTCCCAACACCAAGAGCATAGGTCAGCGGGGTACACCAGATTTAATGAACAACATATAAGACTGTTTCACGAGGTACTTACTTGTTTCCCTTGATCTTGAACCAAGCCTCGGCACATTGCTTGTGAGCTGCAACCAAATCGTCCTTGCAAGAACATCCTAGCTCAATGCTCCCAGATTCATGATTAGTCATGTCCATACTAAGATGACAAATCCTGCAATCCCTCTTCACCGTACCCGAATGTACCTTCACTTCCGTCGCCGCATTCCCCAAATCCACCTCAACCGAACTCTCCGATGCAGGGGATCCCTTGTCTTTTTCCGACACTCTCACAATCTCGGCACCAGAAGCCTCGTGGGAGGACCTTTGCTCCTTGTCTGCACCATCGGCAGCGTCTGGATGCCCGCCACCTCCACCGTCGGAGCTGCTACGCCGACGACAATTGTCTATATCAACAACATGAGACTTCTCCGTGATCATCATTCTGAAAACACGAGCTGAGAATCTTCATGAAACGAACCAGTCAGCGATGACTAACACCCGCCACCACCAAGGTTGAAGAGAAGGTCGGAGATTTTTTCCTCGAGTTCCAGTGGGGCAGGAGGAGTGATGTGCATTTGTTTAGGGTGTTAAGCTACACGCTACTCTCGTGCGGTAGGTGACCTCTCTCTTCTGAGTCACTCTGTCCGTAACAACTAACCAGGCTCAAATGAGTGAGAGAGAGAGAGAGAGATCTTGTACGAGAAACATCATTAGGATCTGCCCTTAAGCATTCTGATGTCTGATGGGGTAAAAAGAATAGCTAAAAATTTTCCCCATTCTTCTTATTTTAAAAGTAAAGTTTTATCCTTGGGAATTGGGAGGATTAATTAGCGCATCCCACTGTTATTTTAATTAAAAAAAATGATGTGCTGCTACAGTAACAGTCTAAGTGAGTCGTGATTGCTTGTGAATTGTGATGTGGGGCTGGGCTGCCAAAAGAGGGAATAGGAAATTGAAAGGAGAAGGAAAAAGGAAAAGATGGATTAATGAGAAAGAATATGTAGGGGGAAGCTTATGATTGAGGTTACCTAAAAAGCGAGTTCTTTGGCGACAGAAATATTATGAAAAGCAGGAAATTCTTTGTCAATTTTATTGCTTTTCTCATGAGCACTGTTGAATTCCCACCGGCAGCCTTATCTTGCATTGACGTATTTGCAGTGGCAGCCATCAAACAAAGCATTGGAGTAAATACAGTGAGTGCCTCTGTTTTGTGGCCAAAGAGTCAATCTGGTCCTTGCATTTTGACAGAGGAGCAGACCAATAAAAGCAAGGGATCGCTTGACTTCTCAACGCGATTATATTGGAGTATAATACACATGACATTACTCTGATTTCATTTACAATTTAGTCTCAGTATATTTCATCAGAATTAAAAAAAATTATCAATCTTATTAATTTTATTTTAAAATTTAATAAATTTTTACTTTTATTTTTAATAAATATTTTTAAATTTAATTATTAATATTCTTATTTAAAACATTTAATAAAAATAAAAATATATAAAAAAGTATTGAAAATTAATAAATACATTATAAATAGAATTAAATTTTATTTTTCTTTCTATTTTATAAATTAGATTAGAAAAGTATTTTGATATTTTCTCTTCTCTTCTGACCATTTGGAAAAATGACGCTTCATGTGTTTTTTTGGGTTTGGTGAAGCAGGCGCGAGTAAATGGACGATCTATTGTGTGCTGAGATAGAAGAAAGGGTTTGTCCAAAGAATAAAAGAGAAGGGGGAAGTGAGAGACGGAGGTGGCTGAAGCAGAAGGAGGGTGGATGGGAAAATCGAGAAGGAGATTCCTGACAGGCAGGCCTCGGGAGAGGGTTTCCAATGAGCCCAATGAAACATGGAGCCACAATTCTCGCCTCCAATCAGTCAGAAACTAGCAGAATCCATCAATCTTGTGCAGCTACATGCCTTCATAATGTCTAGGGTTTGTTTCGTTTCCAACTTGCCAAGACTTCTGTTTTGTGTTTTGTTTGATCAAAGCACATATACCAGGCGTTAGTTGACCCGGTTTCATAAAAATCAATAAAATAAAAATTAATTATAGTAATAAAATTTATGTTCAAATATATTTTTTAAAAGATCCATTTAATAAATTAAAAATTATTTAAATAATATGTAACAATAAATATTTTTAAGTGTGTAATTAACAAAAATGGTAATATTTTACTATAAAGATAGTATAATTTGTAGTCCTTAAATTTTTTTTAATTATCAATTTATTTCTTTAACTCTGATCTAATACAATTATGCTCTTATAATTTATTGAATTACAGATAAAGTTAATAATATAAATCAACCTACAAGATGTGAGTTGGCATAACTTGCATCCTAATGAGTTGTATTTGTGTCGGTTGGCAGGTTGGCTTGCCAACCTGCTAGTAAAACATGTTTTTTTAATTTTTAAAAATTATAAATTTGCCTTTGTTCAAAATTTTTTGATGGTAAAAAAAATCATATTTTTTCATTAAAAACTAATTATCTAAATAACAATAAAAATTATTAAAAAACATAATATAAATTTAAAATATATTAATACAATCCAAAGTAAATATCTCCCCCATCACAAACAAGTATAATGAAAAGTTTAAATCACAATCTAAAGCTTGAAATGTTGAGGAGGATGACGATAATGACATAGGCACATTAGAACTTTATGCACATTCTCTTCTAACACTACTATTAGTAGCTTAAAATGATAATGATCCCACATCTTTATTTTTTTGGTAAACAAATGATCTCATGTCTTTATAATCACTTAACAAATAATATATAAATAATTTTTTCATTTTTCTTTTATTATCTTTAGATCAAAATTTTCAACAACTCTCTAATTTGATATTTTATAAATATTTTACTATAATTTTACATAAAAATATATAAGTAAAATTAAAGTGTTGAAATTTTATTTGAATAGCTTAAAAGTATGATGAAAGTTTGAAAAAATAAAATTATTTTATAAAATGTTTTAATAATAGTTTACAATTTTAATTAAATTAAATAGATCAAATTTTGACAATTTAAATTTATTTATGTATTTTAATAGAAATTATAATAGTAATTTTATAAAATATTAAATCATAAGAGAAGATTTTATATATATATATATATATATAGAATAGGAAGAAACACAATTAAGCTACTTTGTAGAGTATTAAATTCTTGATTGCATGTAACACATGCATGATACTATGTGGAGGAGATTAAGTAAACACAGGAATCTCCAAGATACTGGTCCTCAATGCCTAATGTAACATCCTAAAATTAAATTCAAGAATAAATTAATTAATTAGGTGATGTAATTAATTAATTATGGCGATTAGGAGTTGACTGTTGGGCCCGAGAGAGACTACTTGGGCCTGTAGGACACTTTAAGGAAGTCAAAATAAGGTTAAAAAGAGTTTTGGATTGTTCTAGGCCTAATGTTTCGGGTTTAAGTGGAGTTGTCAGTTTTGGGCTATTTACTATTGTGAATGGCATAGCTTGTCATGGTGAACGTGATATAATTTAAGAGGAGGTTTCTAATCTCTGCTAGGCTTTGTTGATGGTGAAGTTTTAGGAGTATTTTAGGGTTTTTACATCTTGGGTAAGCTTTTTATTTCAATATCCTTGCTCCTCTCTATTTCTTCTTAGTGTTATTTGGGATTGTTGAGGGTTGTCCGAAAATGACTATATGAATGAGACATCTAATGACTTTAAAAGAGTTTGAGGGTGCTCATAAATATAACTAATGAATAGGTTTAGTTAGTGAGTATAATTAAGCATCATTATTAGGGGGTTAAAGTGTTAACCCCAATATTTAATAATTAAATTAAATTTTATAAGCGTCGGTGATGGTTAAGTATAGTGAGAGTTAGATGAATTAATATAAATCATTTTTTGGGCTAAATATGCTTAATCATGCCTAACGAAGGGTTTAGACCTTAATCACATTTAACGATTAATTGATGATAATTAAACATTAATGAATGACTGGTTAGCTTCTACCTATAGATTTAAATTAAAGCTCATTAAATGGATGAAAAGCTTCTCTCGGGGGCCAGATTGTCTACTCTCAAAAATGATAGAGACTTTAGCGTAAAGGTAACCAAACATAGTATTTTATTTAGTGAATAAATGAAAAATTATTGCAGAATAACTATGTATCAAGTTTTGGTTAACTACTGTGAAGAGCCTTGGGGGAAAAAAAGCAAGGTTGAATGCGAATGATAAGAATTTCATGTTTTGTATTTGGCTAATGAAGGTAAAGAGGAATGTTGATATATTTAAGTGTAAACTTGATACGTTTAAAATTGCTTAGCATTAATGTTGTGTTAAGTGAAAGAGTCCATGAAGGAATTGTTTTTAAATAAATTTAGGAAGTATGACATTATCCATATTTCTTAACGCTGAAAGATTCGATGTTTACTTGGTTGAGAATTATATGTTCATACTCATTGCTAGTGCTATCAATTATTATAATGGAATTGGGAATGTGAATTGTCCTATAAATAGAAATTTAATTATTGTATATCATTATACATGCAACTGTGTTTAATTGTTATGTAATTAATGACATAAAATGAGTAGCGTGGGTTTATTGTGAGTCTATGAATCGTGAATTATTGTTAAATGATAACCATGCTTAGTAGAGATGAAACGCTTAATGGCCATGTTTAGTTGAATGCTATGTGTTATGAAATATGAAATTTGGGACTGGATAGGCTATGAATTGCTAGTGTCAATATGTTAGATGTATGCATAGATTGGTTGAATGTGTGGTCACCATGAATATAAGGTTATTGAGAAAATTATAGTGGCATAAGTTGTGATAACATGCAAGTCCTGTTACATATGATGAAATGGACTAATGTGAGTGTAATAAGTGGGAGTTCACTTTAGAGTAGTAAAAGGCTATATTAGTAAAATTCACATGGTGTAGCCTTTACTAAGTTTGCATACAATGGTTAGCATATTACATTACTAATATGCTTAATATTACTAATAACTTTAGGGTGTGACATACGTTGGGCATAGTGCTCAGTATTACTGATTTTGGACTAGATGATGTGGTTTAGGCAATATACGACATCATGAAATTCAAGTAAGGGCAACCCATGGTGCAATAGTGAGTGTAGGAATATTGGCTAAGTAATCCCTTACAATTGAAGAGCGAAGCTAGTCCAATCACATGTACTAGACCTATATGTTTTAATGACATATAGATTTGGTCAAATGATACATGGAGGGATATAAGGTGGTTACATTAATTACGAAAGCATTATGACACAATTATTTATAATTTTATAAGAATTTGAGTCATGTGATGAATTGCTTATTGTTATCATGATCGTTGCATGTGTAAATGTTCTTATGAGGAGGTAAGCACTTTAGCCAAAGTGAAAAGGCTTACATAAGTTACCATTTTGAAAAATAGAAGCTATCAATGAGTTTGTGTTACTTATTGATAAGTTTGTAGACGCTTTATTATGCCATATGGCTTGTCTATGAATTGAGTTGTTTGGTTGTTAAGATTTTTATATCTCAATTGTATTGGTCGTACCTTTCAAGCGTTCATAAGCAAAAAAGGAAGGCACTATATGAGCGAAGGACTAAGATATTCATGTAAGGAGCCTTTAGTTTGTCTCATGTAAGTTAAAATGCATGCTTGCCAACATTAAGATGTTCACAAGGTTTAGTAGCATTAATTGCA